TTGATTATTCACACTTAATCAAAGAAAGCTCATTTCATCCGTGCGAAACTTTTTAAATTCACAACCGCTTTTGAGTAAGTTGCGATCTTCTAAACGGCGACTCATTCAGTTTCGCTTCAGAATACGATGACCTTACCAAGGGACTTACGATACACAATCTAATCCAGCCGCCTGCGCTCTCTTCTATGAAATCAGACGTAGAGACCAAAAACAATCTTGTTATTTTTTCAAAGTAATATTCCTCGGCATTTTTCAAATATGCGACTCGATTTGAAACCCAAAATTATGAACATTTTGGTCAACATCAATGAACAAGGCCTCTCACAATGGATACAGAAGAGCGCCTTCAAATCAATCCGTAAACTTAATGCAAAATTCTGATACAACTATTCGTGCGTCACGGCAGTCATTTTGCATATCCGGCCATTTGAAGGCAAATCATTGACTTCAGGCAACGCTAGGAAGCCAAACGTCCATGCACGGACGTCCATCAAGTACGAATAGTTGTATCTCTGCGCCGTCGTAAACGCGCATCCATTCCCTCGCTGTATTTCCATCTTGTGTTTGTTTCCGCTTGTCTTATATTCGTGATGGTGCCTCAAACTAATAGCATAGAGGAGAGCAATGTGAGTCTACGACTCACGCCATCGCGTCTTAATTTTTCATATGGAATGTGGACATCCATCATGCGCGAACAGTTGTATCGCGTTTACACTTTAGATGTTTCTTATTTTTGAATTTCGAGATAAATTTAGATCATGTTTGCCCGAGATATGCTATGGTATTTCCAAATTAATAGTCATTTTGAAAAGGAAGAAATATGTTTAAAGGTCTCTCAAGAGTCTATAGAGAGTGAGTATGTGTAAAAATCGAACCGACCATCGCTTCTAAGAGAGTTAAACATAGTGAATGAAAGAGGGGAATGATAAAGCGCATGTATGTCAACAAAACGGTGAAATTTCACAGAAAAGTGTTTACGCTTCAGAAAGTAGTTCTTGGACCTCCATACATGACTATCCTGCGTAAAAGCACCTTTCTTTACTCCTAACTCTCTCTTCTTCCGGTCATTTAAGAAATTTTCCGCATATAATCTAGGTCGTAATTTTTTTTCTCTTCTTATTTTGCTATCTGTCAGAGGGGCGCGTTTTCGACGCACCAAGAGGGCGTATCTGCCAATGGCAGATTGGCCTTATGGCCAGTCCGAGCCTGAGACACATCAATTCAACAAGAAAATAGCGAAAAATAAGGCCGGAGTTTGACCCCTTAGTTCGAAAACGGTTCCTATTCTCACCTTGAAATTTTTTCTTGAGTTTTCTGTTATTATAAGCTTCCACTTAAACCTTGGTTCGATGGTCGAATCGAATACCGAAAAAGGGGCGAAGTCAGCCCTTATTTTGGGTGGCTCTTTTGCGAGTACTTCGATTCCATGACAACGAATGTTCAGCTTTAGAATTTGCGAAGTTGCCATTTAAACGACCAAATTTTCATGTCTCATTTGTGAATAACAAAGCAGGGTCAGTCCATTTAAGATTTCATTTTCAGAATCAGACTTTCACAGCAGTTGGAAGTCAGTAAGTGACTTATATATGATATTTTTTGGGACCTTTGAACCCTTCAGAATAATTATTGGACAGTGGCATAGCTCTTTTCGGCACCATTTTTTTTATTTCTTGTGATTTTTGAGAGTTTTTGAAAAAACTCATCATTACCGTAACCTATTTATTTTGTTAGTCCAGCACACGCAAAAGAAGAGGAAACTGATCTTTTTTATTTTTTTTGTTTAGTTTAAAGTCTGATAGTTCGAAATAAATACAAATATTTGGATAAGTTATGATTAAAACTTTTATTTAAACAAATTTCAATGTCAAATTCGGAATTTTTTGTTTTTTTTTTAGTTCTAAATTGCTCTACATTTGAGAGAAAAGGATGAGGTTGCATGTAAAGATTTTTCTATAAAGAGCTAAACTTATATTTTGTAATTTCCCCCTAAATTGTAAATTTACAGCTTTTTTCCAATTTTTTTTCAAGAAAAATAAGCCGGTTACGGTAATGATAAATAGTAGCGGTAATGACTGTAAGTATACGGTAATGATTTATTGTTATGCATGACGGCCTTATGGGGTAGGATCTCAAGGCTGAAGGAAAAAAGCACTGATTTCTAAAGAAAAATTGTATTAAAGCAGTACAAAAATTCGAAAAAATGACCAAACCAAATCATTTGAAATAAATAAATAGTCAAAGAAATGGTAGAAATCAACCAATTTCACATTAAATGAGTATCTCTAATGAAATCACTATACAAAATAATTACAATAGAGGAAAAATAGGACTTTATTTAACCACCTATATGCAAAAGAGAAAATTTCTTTGAGAAGAAATGTAAGTAACGTAAACAAAAATATCTCTAGTGAGATCTCCAAACAAAATAATCATAATAATAGTCAAGAGAAAATAGAACTTTTAACTAGCAAAACTAGCAATAAATATTATAAGACTATCTCGGATCGTATTGATGTACTTTCTGGGCAGGACGGGGCGGTATTGCTGGTGGTATCTGATGGGCCATTTTCTTGTACTGATTTAAACTGACTGACTTTCAGTTTTTCTTGTAAGTTCTGAAACCATTTCTCATATGGGGTTGACATTTTTCTCCAATTAAAACGTCTGTGGACAAGAAAAAGACAGAGATATATTTCAAGGTAATCTCAAGCAACTGAAATTATTCCTAAAAAACTAAAAAAGGCCGCTATAGATTCATTAAAAAAGATAGTTGGTCATAACCGAAACTCTTGCATCATTACCGTACACCCTAGACGGTCTGGGTGGAAGTTACGGTAACGATGGTTACGGTCACGGTAATGATGGTTACGGTAATGAGAAACATTCAAATTTCGCGCCAAAAGGAGACATGGGCTTGTTGTAGGAAGGTGAGATTTCATATTTGAGGTTGGTTTAATGCCATGCGTTCATAAATGAAGTAGGTTTGATGATATCTTCAATCCTCGGTGGATTTTTATATGGTAACGGTAATGGCAGCTGAGAGTTGGACAAAACTCAATTCATCACTGTAAATTGAACGAATATTACTTTATGATTAAGTAAAAAATAGAGAGCTACTCACCGTGGGTCCTCCTTCCAACACAAACATCAACGAATGTAAGTTCGAGCTGGTGCTGTCGCCTAGCAGCCGACGTTTGCTCCAGAACAAGGGGTTACGGTAATGACACCAAATCCAGTAACAAGCATAAGATGGCAATTTTTTCGAAGACTTAGAGGAAAATATAGCTCTAAAAAGAAAGAATTATCAATTCAAAGTATGCTGAAGCCATATTTGATTTCAGAAGCCCGTGACTTTGTATATATTTGCTTGAATTCAGCGATAAAGTTGAGACTTTCGACCGGTAACAGGTTACGGTAATGACAAATGCAGCATTTCAGATCAAATTTGAGCTATAAAAAAAGAAAATTCCTGCAATTTAAGCACGGATTCGGATTCAGCGCAAAATTTTCATGAGGAATGATGTACAAAACACCATGCCACTGGGTTGGTTTTGTGAAAAAAGTAGCGGTAACAGCAAAATGAAATCTTAAATGGACTGACCCAGCAAGGAGTCGCGGATAACGGGGACGCTCCACTTCAAGTTAATCAAGCGAATCCGCGGATAACGGATTCGCGGTTAACTGGGATCCACATACTTGATTTCGCAATTTGACCGCTAGATATCGTCGTTATCCGAACGAAGGAATGTAACTCCATTCCAAGGTTGCAAAACACTGACTCAAACCATTCAATCTTTTACCAGGATGTGCCTCTCCAATTTTTGTCCAAATTTTTCTGATTTTTGCATGATGTTAGCAGGAAAATCGGTGATATTTTCAGTTAGAAATACTCAAGATTCTCCCGGTAAAGATGCAAGTATCGAGGGGAAATTTGGCAACATTGAAATGAAATTACGTTTTTTCGTGTGGAGTACAACGATAGCGTCGTTTCCTTCAAGAAAGAACGTAACCTCACTTCAGTGCTGTCAGATTTTTCCGTGCGAATTTCATTTTTACTAGGAGAATCTTAAAAACTTCTAACTAAAAATTTCACCAATTTTTCCTCTGATCTCATGTAAAAACCAGACGAATTTTCGACGAAAATTGTGCAAATGTACGCTCGTAAAAAACTCAATTCTCTAAGTAAATTTTGCAACTTTGGAATGGAGTTATGTTCTTTCATGCGGGAAACGACGATACGTCTGAAGGGGTAGGTAGATAAACCTGCGAGCTAGTTGCGCGTCTTGAGCGGCGAACTTGGCAAGTTCCGTACTTCCGTAGCCAATCAAGTTGCAAATCGCTGCCGGTAACTCGCTCAAAGTAGAGCCCTTTGCACACGTTGCAAGTGTTTTGCTAAAAGTGGGGGTCATCAAAAGTGCATCACTCATCGATGATCATTAAATATGTTCAAAAAACCCTCATCGATTACTTTGAAATTTGCGCTGGCCCAGCAAATTTCACGATCATTGATGAGTGATGCACTGATGACCCCCACTTTCAACTTAAAACTTGCAACGTGTGCAAAGGGCATAAGATCAGATCTTACTTTTCGCGTCTAGACGCGCGTCTAGCAAGCAGGTGTATCTAGCGCTTAAGGGTAAAAGAAAACGCACCCTCACGAGCACGATCGCAACGGAGGAAGGGTCAAGCGAAGGCGAGCTGGAGATAGGTCAAAGTGTCAGCGGTACCGCGGGAGGGGTGCAGAATAGGGGTGGGGGGTGCCGTAATAACCTGCGAAAGCACGTAGCCGAGCGCATTCCGTCAGTTCATAACAGATACTTATCCTTTACCCCCCAAATTGGTCAGCGTAAAATAGATATTAAGAGCGAGGGGTTGAAGGGGTGGCGGCCCTGCCTCGCGGAGGGTGGGTTTGCGCAGCCGCCACCCCGAGCCCGCCCTGTCCATTGTGCCCTCGCGCCGCGGGGCGGGGGCTCGCCTCTCATTAGCAGATCAAGTCTCGCCGCTTCGGGTCTCGATTCCACCCCGCGATTTCATCCCTTACCGCCAGCAGTTCATCAGTTCAACCCCGCTCGCAACTTCGTCTTCTCGCTCGCTCGCTTGCTCGGCCGATTTTTCGTTTGCGCTATTTTTCACGTGGCTACTCCGTATTTTTGCGGGTTTATGGTTTTTTGTTTCTTTTGTTGTGCGTTTTAATTTTATGTTTGGACTGTTTTTGTTTTTGTTGCGATGTGCTCGATTCGATTCGACTGATGGCGACGTGAGGGGTTGATCCGTCGCGATTTTTGCGGATTCGCGAATTTGCAAATTTGCGCCGGGCGGTGTCATGGATCATCACAGCTGCATCCGGCCCAGACCCAGGGCCGTCTACTCCATCGAAAGGATTCTAGGCAACGCTAATGACTCTACCAAAGATAGTAAGAGCCGTGACATTACTATTTTGAATACGAATGGAGGGTATTAGTTGGATCGCATTTAGCGAAAAGGAGCCAGCGCTATCACAGTGTTTTCAAAATCGTGCAACTTCTTCTTTTCTTTCAAAAATACTTAATACATGCACAGTATTAACATTTGCACAGTTATTGTCCTTTCAAATCAACAATATTTTGGTGGGAAGCAAAAGCTACTTGCTATTCTAAGAGATTCAATGGATGATGACAACACTGCAGCATTTGCAACTGTGCAGCATTTTTACAACACTGTTATCGCGCTACTTCCTTTTTGCTAAATGCGATCCGATTGCACCAACATGTTAAGTGTTTATTTTCGGGTTTTTTTTGCCCTCGAGGAAAAAATCGATTGCCAAAAAGCGAAATCGCGTATCTCCGTTTTCAACGTCGGAGACTTCCTTTCATGATTTATTTTTTCTTTTGAAAACCAGTCAACGCAATTTCTTGAAAACTATTTCGATGTTACCTCGACTCCATTGGCAGGATATTCTGATTAAATTTCAAGCTATTACGTTGGCTTGTTTCTCCTTGAAAAAGTAAAAAAAGAGCGGAAATTTTGAAACACCGCAATGGAGATACGTGGTTTCGCACTTTACCCACCGACATATTATGTACGTTGGAACTGCAGGAAGGTGCATCTCTGTATGCGATGATGCAGACTTCTCGTCATCACTCAGTTTAAATGTAACGTTGTTGCTTGGAAACGTCCCTGATTTGTCCCGTCTTTTGATTGAATATAGTATGGTAGCGGAAATTTTGAAACATCCTAATTTAGACGCGCCTGTTTGCAGTTTCATCATCGTTTATCAAAACTGAAAAAATTGCGCAGGACCTCATGAATAGAAAACAGCGAAAGCATGGTTGGTAGAAGGGTTTAAGTGACGAGTATTTTCTGGTATGTCTGTTTGGCTTCAAGCTGATTGAACTTTCAGCTCCCTAGCGAGTTGGTAAATACAAAAGCAATTAATAATAATAAAAAAAAAAAAAAAAAAAACTAGTGAATGAATTATGGAAATTCAAAACATTTCAAGCGCCATCAGGTTTTGCGAAAGAGCATGTTCCTCGTTTTTTGAGAAATTTAATCAGTGAAGTACCAAATTTAGAGATCTAAATTTTGGTGGTAAAAGTAGTAAACTTTAATTATAGTATTCTAGTAGTGTACAACTTAAATTTAGAGACATCCTCTCAGTTGGTAGCTTATGAATCAAAGCCACTCAATTCCCAAGGCGAAGTTTCGAAATCTAACATAAGCAGGGCTTGATGTTACTATTCTGTTTCAAATTCCCGTAGGCACTTCAAATGAATCCTACCTAAGGGAATAAAGCTAGCCTGTACCTACATTGAAGGAGGAGAGTATACACTTCTCCTTTGATGTATGACTGATCGCACTTTTGCGATTTCTAGATTGGTATGATTGTATCTCTCATATTATAATGTTTACAATTTTCGTCTATAATGACTCGTATTGAGTTAGGTGCGAGTCACTCGTCAATATTGCCGTGTCACTTACCTTTCCCTGGAACACAGGTAATGTGGAATAAGTAAAATTGAAATTGTACTACACAGGTGCATACATTAGCAACAGGTATGCGAGTATATCCATCGTTACATTAAAATGAAGTGCACTCAGCCGAACAGATGGCACAGAAATGCCAGTATAGTAATAAATTAATAAGCTTCTGAACCCACGAGTTCAAATGCGGAGTGGAAATTCAAAACCTGGCAGGCGTAATTAAGACTATATACATTATGCAAATAAGAACTACAATTTCTGGCTTATCCGTAAAAACACTTATGTGCATATGGATACAAATGTTACATGCTGTGTTTCTAAACTAGGCCCAAAATTGTAATACCATGTTGCAAAATGTAGTCCTTTAGTTGTCACTGAGATTATACAGGTATCGTGTCTCTGACTGTTATTATGGATTCTAGATGCCTTTGCTTCGTGGACTTCTGTGGGAATTTCTTTACGTTTTGGTTCTAATTTCATGAAAATAATTGTCATCCTCAAGCTACAGGACTCCTGGCAAATGAGAGCAACAGTCGTACAATGTTTACAAATCAAGAATATTTGGAGAGTCAGAGAGCTTATATTGATGATAAAAAAATGTCTAATTTTCTTTTATTCTATTGGAATCATTCCATGAAATCGAGTGGCTTTTCTTTAGTGCAAAAAGTTGTATAAATAATTTTTGATAAAAGTAATGAACAACTAGCAAGAATCGTAAAACTCATAGCAAAGTTACTAAACATTATCATTAATTTCATTATCTTTTCTTTATCCTTTTAACGAGTGGGTACCAAATGATAAGTCAGAAGCTGAGAGAATAAAATGAGAGGAAAAACTACGAGTCTGAAAAAGCCTTCAATCCTTGAACTTCTTGCCTCTTTAAAATATAACATCATTTCCGTTGGACTATTCAACTATGGCTACGAGTACTCTAGATAAACTTACAGAGATCATAACTGCATCCACCTCACCTCGTTGAACCATAATTTACAAGATGAGAATGCAGTTGAATTGTTTGTTTTAAAAACCAGTCCCTGCAGGTAATTCTTCGCAGCTTTCTCATAAAATGGTGCTTAAAATGTCTCTGAACTTTTGTGAAAATCAAATGTCAGCCTCATGAGGACTTGTTGACCCAGCTTACATTTCTTCGGGCTTCTTTTTTCTTTACACCCCCTCCCCTCATGGAATCTATTAATTATTCACCATGTGAAGTTCCATCACTAAAACTTCCACAACCAAGCTTTTTGATCCCTAAATTTTCATTGTGCACTCGAGTCATGTACTGTGGATTCCGGATCACTTTTTATGATTTTTCTAAAATCGGCAAGAAATAAGATGTAGATAAGCGTATGCACTGAAAAAAAAATCCCGGTGTATTTACTAAGAAAAGGGTAAAATTACCAACAATTCAGGGTTCTATTTGATCCCAGTTTTTTCTTGGTAAAATTACCATTTATGGAATTGGTAATTTTACCGAGAAATCTCGGTAAAATTATCTACTTTCTCGGTAATTTTACTGAACCCCGGTAAAAACGCCAATATTTTTTATCGACTGAGGTAGAATTACCGAGATAAGATGGCAAAGTTACCGGGAATTGATTTTCAATAAAAGTGGTATTCTTACCTGAGAAAAACAGTAAAAATACCGGTTTTTAGGTATGCTTACCAGTCTGTCTTGGTAAAATTACCAATAATTGGTAAAAAAATGAGATGGTAAAGGTACCAACGGACCTTGGTAAAAACGCCGAGAATATTTTTTCAGTGTGGTTTTAACATTTTCAAATTTTGACTCAAAGGATTGTGTCAGCATGAAGCAGTCCTTAAAGAGAGCGGGGCACCCGTTACGGGTGGGTCCTGTGGCAGCTATGCTGGCATGAACCTTCCTTTCCCCTCACCTATGGTGACAAAATACGTTCACCAATTTCAACTAACTGCCCCTCTTATATGCCTCAAACACTGTCGTGCTATGGAAGAAAACCGCATGAATATCCGAATTTTGCTAAATTGCTCTCGATATATTCATTTTTGAGTACAGCTGTAAATATTTTGTCTTGAAATATTTAGAAACTATATACTTAATTACGAGACAAATTTTGTGGAAATATGGGAGAAAAAATATTCACAAGATTCCTAAGAAGGAAACATTTTAGCAAGGGAAATTTCGCGACTTTTGAATGCTCATATGGGGGTTTCCCTTATAGCACGGCAAAATGATTCACCCGACTTCCGCCCTGACTTTCAGACCATCTGCTGCTTGGATTCAACTGGATCTGATCTGAGTTTCCTCCCCGCATGAACACCCGCGCGGACACCCGGTATTCAATTCCCGATAACAATTCTTTCGTGCTAAGAAAGAACGTCTTATGAACCTCCACGCGTTGCCAAATTTCCGTCGATGATATACGAATTTTTAGGGGAATCTGCGAATATTTTCGTTACAATTTTTCGGAGAATTTTCCTCAAAATCAGATCTAAATTATCTGGAAATTTCAAGGGAAAATATTCATATGACACTCCTTAAAATTAAAATTTTTACCGGAGGAAATTTGGCAACTCTCAAATGTTCATGTGCACCGAAAAAAAAAGTAAAGTTGATTTAACATTCTGGATGTAGGAAACGTGTGCGAGTACTTATAAAATGCTGAAATTCCCGCTGTAGCAGTTATTTTAGCAATGCCAGGATGTAAAACTAACTGCTGTGACGGGTAATTCAGCATTTTATGAGTACTCGCACACGTTTCCTACATCCAGAATGTTAAATCAACTTCACTTTTCTCTCGGTGTGGCGTTTTTCCACATAGCACGGCAGAACAATCCAACAGACGCGAGCACTCTGGAGAAAGGACGCGGCGCTTTCTACCGGGTTACGTAAAGTGTGCGTAAACGAATTAACTTGAGCGACGATTTACTGGGTAGTCGCTTTGTAATGAGATATTACCGGTAGCAGCACCGCGCCATCCACTCACGGCCCAAGCCACTTAATTAATTAACCAGGTTAGACTAATTTCGCAAGTTGCAATTCCAGGTGCAACCCCTGTTGCCGGGTTGCCGAGTCGTGGCGTCCTGCACTGAAAAAAAAATTCTCGGCGTTTTTACCAAGGTCCGTTGGTACCTATACCATCTCCCTTTTTTACCAATTATTGGTAATTTTACCAAGACAGACTGGTAAACTTACCTAAAAACCGGTATTCTTACTGTTTTTTTCAGGTAATAATACCACTTTTATTGGTAATCAATTCCCGGTAACTTTGCCATTTTATCTCCGTAATTCTACCACAGTCGATAAAAAATATTGGCGTTTTTACTAAGGTCCAGTAAAATTACCGAGAAAGTTCAATAATTTTACCAAGATTTCTCGGTGAAATTACCAATTCTGTAAATGGTAATTTTACCAAGAAAAAACTAGGATCAAATAGAACCCTGAATTCTTGGTAATTTTACCCTTTTCTCAGTAAATACACCGAGATTTTTTTTTCAGTGTGTAGATAGATTGTTGAATCGTATCGAATGATCCTAATTGATAAATCCCTATTTAAGCAATGCTATGCGGACGTATTTCTGCCAAACGGAACTATGTGCATTATGACGTGAGCCCTGTTACGCTTGTAGCTTTATGGGTCTCAGGGCTCATGTCTTAACGCACATAGTTCCGTTTGGCGGAAATACGTCCCCTTATCGATCCAGGTCATTCAATATCCATTCGAAAATCGACCCAGTCGAGTTACAGTAGTTTACAGCACGGATTTGAGATTCAGCAGATGGAGGGTATGGATTCGATCGGCATGAATCGATGGACAAAATTTGATCGATTCACGGGTTTGTCGATCCGCTCATGGTTGTCGGTCGAATCACGTCTATTAATTCACGTTTCTATTTTTCGATCGATTTATATCGATCGAATCGACACCTGTATTTCAATAATATGTTAATCTGTTCACGTCGATCGATTCACGTTTTTATTCTTCGGTCGACCCATGTCGATCGAATCCATACGTTCCTTAATAAATACCTAATTATGAATACACTGGGAAAAAACACACTGGATCTAGAGTCCAGACTCTTAAAAACATCGACAAGAAAAAATACTCTTGATTCAATCAGATTTAAGCTTAAATCAAGAACAAAGCCTCTTAATTTGAGCGGATTTCCTTTTTGATTTAAGCTTAAATCTGCTTGAATCAAGAGTCCTTTTTCTTGTCAATGTTTTCAAGAGTCTGGACTCTAGATCCAATGTGTTTTTTTTTTTTTCCAGTGTACTTTATGAATGTTCAAAAAGCGGAGTTTCTGTACGGCAGTTTATGATGCAAATATTTTAACTCCTGTGTGAGCAGTGAAATATCGCGCGAATCTGAAGGCGATTTCGACTGGTAAAAAGAGTCCGGCGTCGCTCACAAAAAACGTGTACCTCGTGTACTTTTACTCATTATAGCTCAAAAATGTTTAACTCTGATCGCAATTTTCGGAACGTTTCGGCTTTGTTTTCCCCGCGAAATGTTTTGAACCTAGCACCATTTCACCACCTTGTTAATCTACAAATTATGGATTTATCATCAATCAAACCCCTCAAGGACTGTGCATTTATGACGTCAGGTACATAGGGTTAAAGGGTTATGGGAGCACTTGACGATTTTCTCTTTCAATGAGGGTATGAGGGGTTTAGGAGATCTGATATGCGGAAGTAAGGGGTCGAGAAAATTGGGAATAGTACCTAACGTCGTTTGACCCTACATCCACAGCAACAACTTAACTGAAAAAAATTTGATCGCAAATTCAATTAGAAACATTTTTTTTTAATGTCGACGAAGCGCTCATGCATATTGTAAAACGTATAAACTTTTCTGCCGTGCTGAGGTAAAATGCCGTATGAGCCCTCAGAAATTGCCAAATTTCTCCTAATAAAACACTCGTTTTTGAGGAAAGTCGTGAATATTTTTACTTTAATTTTTCACAACCTTTAGATCAAATTGCGAGTGAAATTCTTTGAAAAATTTGAGAATAAACACTCAACAGTTCCCTTCAAAATTCGTATTTTATTGTAGAAAATTTGGCAACGTCTATAGGCTCATGCGGCGTTTTTTTTTTAGCACGGCAGTATTCTTCTTCATTATTCCAGCGTAGATTCTTTTAAGTATATATATATGAGTCGCTTTTATAGCGCTCTTTGGCGCTGTGCGACGCCTAATCGCCACAAAGCTCGGTCTTCCCACAGGTCATCAGGGAGTTGACAATCTCTTATCTCATTTAACACCCCCTGTCGCCAACCTCTCACTGGGCGTCCCCTACGTCTCCTCCCAGGAGGAACCCAATCAAGCATCTTTTTTGGCAGCCTCTCTTCCGTCATCCTATTGACATGACCATACCAAACAAGTTGTTTGGTCATGACGTCGAACACGATGTCATTTTCGACTTCCATTATCTGACGCACTCTATCATTACGGATCCGATCTCTCCTAGAAATTCCTGCTGACCTTCTCCAGAAATCCATCTCCGTTGCTCTTAGCATATCCTGTGTTCTTTTAAGTTAATGGCTAATTTTAAAAGTGATTTTGGGCAAAATCTTGATTAACGCTATAACGGTTCGCGGCCGCGTGATACTCGACCCGCATTAATTCAATTTCATCGTACTTGAAATCGCTTTCCGGCTGACATGATTGAATAAAGATTGCACATGCTCAAGTGGCAATTAGTAAATCGGTTTCTAATTGTTGGTAATTTGTGACCGGTCGCGTTTATATTTTGATGGTCCTTGTAAGTGATCTCAGTTTACTCGTACACAATTTCGTTAGCAAGCTTGATATGAAGTTGTAAAGTACTACCATGCAAAGGGAGAACGATATATGAGCCTTCAAGTGTTGCCAAATTTCCTTCGATAAAATCTGACTTTTCAGGGAATTCTGTGAAAAATTTTTTCTGAATTATTTTTAGAGAATTTTATTCGCGACTAGGTCTAGATCATCTGAAAATTTCAAGGGAAAATATTCTTAACTTTATTCAAAAATAAACGTTATATGGGAGGAAATTTGGCAGATCTCGAATGATCAGACGGCGTTTTTCCTTGGTACGCCATAGTAGTAGGAATTGGATTACATTTTGCAATAAGGAACCACTATTTCTGGTCCATTTTAGAAACAACATACATGCCATTGGTTTCCCTATGCAGATATGTGCTCTTATGAAAGAGCTTAAGATAGTGGCTCCTTATTGCAAAATGCAATCCAAGCATGTCACTGCCACTCCAAATATTGTGGGAATTCACACATGAAACCAAGGCTTTATTAAAAATTTTTTGTGCAGCAAAAACGCTGTACATAAAAGATCATTTTTTCCCCATGAGCAGTTTGACGCTGAAAGCTCAAAATCATGTACCTATCTTGGTTTGCGATCTCGCAAATCATTGTCACTTTTTTCCCGCGTAAAGAAAGTCTGATCATCTTCTGCACAAAATTTCATTTAAAATTCATTTTTTTTAAAAAATCACGCCAGAAATTCGAACAGAATTCTCACTCTAAAAGAGAAGACGAGTAGAAATGTTTAAACACAACAATTGAGATCCGTGGTTTGGTAGTTTCACCATCGACACGATGAAATTACATTTGAAACCCTCTGAAATTAGGAGGAGAACTAAAGGGAATGTTTTCTTGAAGACCATATTATTGTAATGGGGGGGATGAAATAATCCAACGCTCGTCAAATGGTAGAGCTGACTCTATATCTCGAATATCAATACAACGGTAATACACTTGGTACACTGGCTAGGTGCTACCTATACTCGCTGCCTCGAAGATACGAATGAACCCGCGGCGAATCTCGAGAGCATACATCTCGTAGCATCCGATGACGCGATGACGTCAAAGACGTGATTGCGAGACAAATCGGTGCTCCGAGATGGATACTCTAAACATCCAAATGCTCGCCAGAGCCTGCACTTGCGAAATCGATGGCTTTCGGCCCGAATGAGCTAGAATGCATAATGGAATGTGGCATATGGAATATGGCCCCATTCCATTACACCCTCCGATCTTGGGCAAAAAAACGAAAAAAAAAAAAACGATTTAACCATCCCTCTCGAAGCAAAGGCCCTTGCGTAGCAAGTGCAGCGTTTCATCGTAAAAAATAGTAAAATAAAAGTAGGTTTAAAAAAAAATTATAAATAAAAGGAGGCTAGCGTAAAAAAAACATTACTCGAATAGTAATAGAAAATATGACTTTTTACGAAAAAAAAAATAATAAATAAAGCGGCTACATTTTATATTTGCCGGCACCCGATCAGAACTTTGGTTCGAGAGGTTTCATAGCCGTTCTGTTCATGTAACAAAATCCCAAAATTGCTATGAAATCTGTTCACCGCAGTTTAACCTGGCGCATTCGTGGTACTCAAAAACAAATTTGAATCGAAAAAAAAAACGTAAATAAAAAATTGAGTACGAGTACCCGATTTCGGTTCTTAAAACTACTACAAAGAAATTTGCTGTCGCTCCGAAAAATCTCAGGTGCCATGCCCGTCCAACACATTCTGCTGACTCAGAAGCGCCTCGTTCAGTCCTTCGCGATGCCCAATGTTGATATTTGCACCATCAGCTGTCCTCCATGAAGCGCCGTGATGCTTCGCGGTTGCCAAATCGCCGTGTCGCCTTCAGGAATGGATGTCCCTCGATTGTCAGGATATCCGGGTGATGTCCAGATGCCTCCGCCGATCAGTTGAGAGAAGCACGCCCGGATCCCGCCGAAAGTGGAGGTAGGATGAGCCGGGTGTGAAGAGTGCCTCCAACGTCCCAACGTGCCTCAAAGCCCATGCTGTTTTAGGGATGCCTGCCTGGCGACCAGTGGGAGAAGGTTGCCCGCCTCGTCGATTGGTCGATACGTCCAAGGGTTGCTGAGATTGCGATCCGCCAACCAGTCGCTGGGTGCCGAAGCTACTCTGGTTACGGTAACCAGGGGATGATGAACCAGGGAGAGATGTTTCTACCCCGGAACCAGGGCTGACCGCTGAGGAAAAGGCCGCTGATCCCATCGACAGGAGATGAGCCGGCTGGTGTCCTGCCTGACGATCAGCGAAGTCAAAGTTCCCGCGATTTGGGCGCTACTTTGGTGTGAATCATTGAGGATGCGTGGACTGTCAGTGCGTTTCCCATCAGAGATGCGAATTCCGAGACGGCATCAAGAAAAATTCCATTGCGAACAGGAGTCCTGAAACGTTGCCAAAAACACAGGATTAGACTACTGCGCTGTAATTTCCTATTCTCAGGAGAAAAAATTACATTAACAAAATTTAGAAGCGCAACAAAATCTAGAGATACGCTTAGTAAATTACACAAAATAATATATTAATAAATTAAGTAAACAAAAAACCATGGTAGCATAATTTACCGATCCTACCGGAAATATTAAATTTTTAAACATATGATTATATTAAATTATATTAAATAAATATTATATTAAATTTATCCGGAAACTAGTAGAAATAACAATAAATTAATTTCCAATATTATATAAGGCTTCGTTTTTAAAAGTAATACAAGTAATTAGTCGAAACCATTCAACACTTTTAAACGAAAAACAGAAACCTAAAAACGGGGGCAGTAGCGCCTTTTCTCCACCACGAAATTTTTCTCAGACAAAAAATCGAAAACTGTTTTGGGTTTCTTTGCTGTTACAATAAGTTGGTGAATATTTCCAACGTAGCTTGGCCATTTTAATTAGTTGATGGTTGTTCAAAGAAATCAAAAGCCATCGGGCTTACTTAAGTTTCGCAATTGATACAAGTAAGGAAGGAAGTTTGATAAGTAAAATTTGGGGGTACCATGAAATATTAGATAAATGAACATTCATTCATAAAATCAAGATTTTAAAAAAACCTGACAACGTCGCAAACAACGTGCTGCGCGTTTACAAACTGTCCATGCTTAGGTACTCCTGATAATTCCGCAAGGAAGAGGAAAAATCCTGACCTTTCCTAAGAGAGAGTGTCAATTTTATAAAATTAGCAATGAAGTTAGGTAATTTTGGTCTAGTTACAGGTCGTAGGCAATCAACAACGAAAATTGATGAAAATTGCTAACTTATAGGTACTTTTTTTGATAAAATGGAATTAGCAAATCCATAGCTGGCGCTCCATCAGAGCTGGCGCATTGTTTACCATTTCTGCTAATAACACATCGAACTCGTCCGGCTCGGTTGCGGAAATTGCCGGCTAATTCCATCTTGCATAACACGGAAAATTCAGCGAGCGCCGCTCGTGTTTGAAATTTCGACATGAGAAATTTTTTCGCCAAATTGACGGCCGACGCCCCAAAAATGGCGCAACTGCGGTATGCCCATGATTTGTTTTTCTTTCAGCCTCCGCGCACTGACCTAGATTGGTGGCCGGGTCCTCCGAGAATTTTTTTTTAGAGAAAAAAAAAAAAAAAAAAAAAAAATTCAAGGAAGATGGAAAATGGAAAATCCTTGAAAAGAAAAACATGAGGAAACTAAGAAAATACAGAACAATGAGACGGGTCTCCTAAAATGAAATAAAAATACATACATACAATTTAAAAATTTCGAAATGAAAAATGAATAACGAGACCTATGTGACGAGTTTCTACCAGAGCTAAAGAAAACTTAAGAACTTAAGACTTAACAATCATCTTTTCTCAAAACATAAGACGATCAAGAAATGTAAAAATTGTTTTCTTTAAACCTGTCCTTTTTGCAACAGCTTCTTTTTTCTATGGACTTTCGCCCTTCAGAAAAGTCTTTCAAGAAGAGGAAAAATTAAACAAACACGAAAAAAAAAAATTCTGAAAATCAAAGGATATTCTATCGTGTCCTGTTAAATAAAAAGAAAAACATCGTCTTTAGGATAAGAAAATTACCGAAAATCCTGGATTGATACTATCCCCCCAGGATCGAATTTCCTCCTAAATCTCCAATTCTTGGGACTCCTCCAAGAAAAATCATGATCGGAATTGCGCCCATTAAAATAGCCATTACTTTTCAAACATGCTTTCTTCTTGAACTCAGATTTGACATCATCTGTGTAATTCGAAGTAGTATAGCCTCGCTTTTTCTTACTCACTCTTTGAAATTTGTAAACTGCGCGACCGGCGGTGTCCGTGCTTTGAAAATTGCTGACCTCACCTTGCTTACCTGAAACGCGTAAACCACACGCAAGTTCAAGTCCATCGCTTGTTACCGTGAGCATCTCGACCTCGTTTACGAACTTCGATGCCTCTTTTCCACTTTCCTGCTGATCAAATTGATCATTTTTACGATTTTCTTCAGTGGAACTCACAAATTCCTTAAGGAATATTTGTATATTGTGAGGGTCTTCTTCCTGAATCTCACATAGGGCTGACTCCTCCTCAGATTTGCAAATTTTGAACGCGTCGGAATCCCCACGCTCCATAACGGGCTCGACTATCCCTTTGGTTGCGCCAATTTCCTCATAACTATCTGAAACACTGCTCAAAGATGCATTAGACCCAACATTCGAATCATTAAAATCAGACAAGGAGTGAGCCTGCTCTGTGACCTCCTTAAATTCGGAAGAAAACTTATCGTTCGAATGAACTTCTTGCTTAAAGTTTTCATCCTGCATGAAATTAACACTTCTTATGTAAATAGGCTCCTGATCCACAGTATCTGAATCTAGAAAATCATATGCAGATTTATCCAAAATCTTTTCATTGGTTTCAGCAAAAGACGTATGACCCTCATTTTTTACAGGAAAATCACTTCTAGGATAAATTTTAGTAACAAAATTATCACGAGATTTTATTGTACTGATTGAAGGATCATGATTTTGCTGAATGGAACTTTGCTGACTAAGATGAGGATTTACGGGTTGCGCCCTTAAAACGGCCTGGTTCGCGTTTCCGTTCCATCTACACAACTCTGCGGGGTTTGCTTCCTGGCTTCGGGTCCATTTTCTTTTCTTGAAGGGCATCCCTGCCATTTGTTGCTGTCCCTGATAGAGCGCGTCACCGCTTGTTGCCTCTCGTAACCTCTTTTCTGCGGCTACTAATGCGTCAACTCCCCTGGCCAAGTCCTGCCTCATAGCGTTCAATGCTCGACTATTTCTCTCCGTTTCTGCACGATTTGAATCTACTGCGGCTACCAACGTTGCTAGAGTATTCTCAGTGGCTTTCACCCGGGATTCTAAGGATGATTCCTGCCCAGTATAGTGATTCACAGCCAAAAAAGAGTTTCTTCTCTTGCTGGTTGCGGCAACGGCCAGTTTAGCATTTTTTACTGATTCTATTAACTCCTTAATTGTTGAATCACGATTATTAATCACCTGGGCCAAATACTCCGGTGCCAATCCCATTACTATACTCCTCACTAACTGTGCTTCAGTCGAGTTCACTTTAGCCAAGTTCGCCAGTTTTCTCTTCGCTTGCACAAAATCCAACGGGTCCTCATCGCTCCTCTGCGTTCGCGCAGAGAATTTCTGGAGGGCATCCTCATCATCATCGAAATATTCGATCAGTTTTTGTTTGGTTTCCTCAAAAGACTCGCAGTTTTGGAACGCTATTTCCTCGTTGTCATAATACTGCACGGCTCGTTTTCCTAGGTGACTCCTGAGCCGGTCTCGCTTTTCTTGATCCGAACACTTGCGATAGTGCGTTTCGAAGTCTTTCAAAAAGTCTCTGATCTCATAGTCACTTTCACCTTTGAAACGTCTCTTGAAGGGAGGTGCCTTAATTGAAATTATTGGTCCTTCTGCTGATCGGGGAACATTTGATCTTGCTATCAACTGGTTCCATTCCATTATGGATTGGCTCAACGTTCTCGTCACCTCCAGCTGGGCTTTAAACATTTCATGAATTTCTCGGTTTTGTCCCGGTATTTCCTGGAAGGCCCTGTGTCCTCGAGGATCCATCTGCGCGGAACTTTGCCCCCATAAACCAGGTTGAAATGTTTGGTTCCAGTCTTGAGTCATTTTTCGGCCGTTGTCTCTCGTCTCCATGCCCTCTAACAGTATGTCCCATGGTCTTGGAACTGCGCCTGCACAAGTTCGGTTTGCCATTCAAACCCAACCGCATCGTACTCGTTCTCAATTAAACCGGCATGAGGTAGTATGAACTCGGTCGGTCTTTCTTTGTGTTTACTGGCATCAACGTTTTTTGCAACCGCTCTTGGTGCAACGAGCGCGATTGGAAACATAGCTACGAGTCTCTGAAAAAGCGATTTTGAAAAAGATGTTTTCGTATTATGCTATTCTCTTCATTGAGTTGCTTCCCGTAACTCTCACACAAGTCGCAATTCAATGTAGACAAGGAAGCTTTTACTGTTTATTTACTCGACGCGATTTTTATGGAACGACGTAAATTTCCCGACGAGTAGAGAAAATTTTGACTTTAGGAAAAAAAAAAATTTAAGTTACTTCCGCGTACTCGGCACTAATTTAGCAAACACTAATAGAAGCAATGAAAGAAGAATCAGCAGAAAGGCTTAAAGAAATCCCAGATTTCGTCGCGCGTCCAGATTCTCTGCGCAATCAGCGTCGTGACTTGAAAAGTTTGATCACAGCTGCGTACGAGAATCAGCACGGGAAGGTAAATCTGAGACAAAGTCGCCAAATTGCTGCGATAGGCACAAGGAGATGATATGCAATAAACTTTCTTTAAAATAATGCCAGTATGAAAGTTTGAAGAAGAAACCAACTTTCAGAACTTTCAAGTATGCACAGGTTAAATTTCACATTGATTTAATCTTGCTTACAAGTTTGAAACAGAATTTTAATAAATAGCTGTTCTGCTGCCCCAGAAATTATTTGAAGCTATCTGTGATTCTGTAAATTTACTACGTAAAGTAAGATCTGCGAATTAGATTCGACTGATAATTCAAAACTTCAATGAAATTTACTCAAGACTTTCGTCTAAATTTCTTGAATTACTTTTCTGCTGCCCCAGAAATTTTAGAATCAACGAATAAAATAAACGAACTTTATTCAAGACTTTCGTCTAAAAAAAAATTAAATTCCTTTCTGCTGCCCCAGAAATGATCTGCAGTAAAATTTGCGAATAAAATTTCACTGATAAAAAACTTCAAATTTCGACTTTTCGTCTAAATTTTTGAAATAATTTTCTGCTGCCCCAGAAAATTCAATGGAAAATCGGTGAATAGAATTTCACTGAATACTTCTTGAAAAAAAATCTTGAAAATTACGCTACGCTTTCTATTTTCAACTTTGTGAAGCTTGAAAATTACTAACCGTTTCCGTACTATCAATTGATTAATGAAAATTACTTTTGGTTTTCGTGAATTTTTGACTTGGTGAAGCTCGAAAAATTCCTACTAACTCTGTAGATTTTCTAATTTAAATTCAAATTATCCTACTTACCTGGGATCTTCGGATGACGGTGCTCCTTACCCGGAGTCTCCACTATGTAATGGGGGGGATGAAATAATCCAACGCTCGTCAAATGGTAGAGCTGACTCTATATCTCGAATATCAATACAACGGTAATACACTTGGTACACTGGCTAGGTGCTACCTATACTCGCTGCCTCGAAGATACGAATGAACCCGCGGCGAATCTCGAGAGCATACATCTCGTAGCATCCGATGACGCGATGACGTCAAAGACGTGATTGCGAGACAAATCGGTGCTCCGAGATGGATACTCTAAACATCCAAATGCTCGCCAGAGCCTGCACTTGCGAAATCGATGGCTTTCGGCCCGAATGAGCTAGAATGCATAATGGAATGTGGCATATGGAATATGGCCCCATTCCATTACATTATTTTTTAGATGATCTTTGAAACAATTCATTTGCATGCATGATATATTTTCCATCTCTGATTGCAGAAAATGAAGGGCATTTTGCAATAAAGAACTACTATTTCCAGCTCATTTTAGAAACAACCTATGTGTCATCGGTTGCCTCGTGTGCTTTTGCGTATGGGCCAAAAATAGAAGTTCCCAATTGCGAAATGCAGCCGACATGGGAATCGGCGAGCTTTCGCCGGGGATTTTTTCCCAGAACCTCGAAATCAATTTACCCGGCCGCATTGTTTTTAGCCTGCGAATACGCGAGCGGGACGTGCAGGGACGGGCTGTATCCCTTTGACGAAATTAGGACTGTGATTAACGTGTACACGCGAACTAGTCTCGCGGATAAATTTGACTGGAGGAAGTGAAAAGTTAATCACTCAATTTAACACAGCATTCAGCCGGGATCAGATGTGGATACCGCTCATCCCACCCCGCCAGCCCCCACCCGAGCCCCGTTCCAAATGCCCCCTCCCCTCCGACACCCTTTATTTCATCCCTTTCTGTGTTTGCGCGTTTTTCACCCCGATGTGATTCGAGCGGTCCCCCGCCGAAATAGCCCCTGAACCGGACCTCAGTGTCATGGGAAATTAATTGAAAATATTGCGGTTAATTGGTAGTGTCTATGAATAAATGCATTGAGTTTTGCGAGGAGGAACCGAGAGCATTCCAATTTCGCTAAGATTTTGCTGATTTTTTTACCTTGCGATTGGAAACTGCACGGAAAAAATTAAAGTGCTGATTTAACAATTCGATTGCTAAAAAAAGTGACTGCAATGTTAGATTTTACAACAAAAAATGCTTCTTTAACCACTCCCGTGGTTAAATTAGCGTACAATAGTGGTTTAAAGTAGCATTTTTTTTTGTTGTGGAATCTGCGTTGAAATACATATTGCAGTCGCTTTTTTAGCAATTGCATTGTTAAATCAGCAATTTAATTTTTTCCGTGTGATCACCTAAACAAGTTTTATCTTCACTCCCAATAAACTATAATTTTAAGACGAAACCTACCTTTGTAAATTTAATTTTTTGCATGATTTCAGTAATTTAATTGCAAAGATGCATGCAAGTTGCACAATCTTATCAACATTGGATTGCTCTTGGTTCCTTTTTGCAAAATGCAATCTTATTGGTAGTGTCCATGCATAAATGGATTGCATTTTGCACAAAGGAACTAAAAGCATTCCAATGTTGCTAAGATTGTGCAACTCTTTTTACTTTGCGATTGTGAACTAATCATAGAAGCAAGTTTTATCTTACTCACAATTAACTTTAAATTCAAAACGAAAATTGTCTTTGCAATTTTAATTTTTGTATTATTTCTGTAAAATCATTGCAAACCATGCATGAGTTGCACAATCCCAGCAATGTTGAAATGCTCGTGGTTCCTCTTCGCAACACGCAATCCGAATGTAGTTCGTTATGAGCGATGAAATAGAGGCAAATACAGATCATTGTATACTGCGGGATAAAGAGCTCCTCGAAATTAAAAGTAAAAGAAATTGAACTGTTTTGAACGATGGCGAAGATTATTTAAATAGATCCAGCGTGCGTGAGCTCTCATACTTTTTCCTCCTTTTTTGAAAAGCCTCGAGTGTATTAAGAGTACCATATTGTTATCCATGAGCTTTGAAATTGAATAAAATAAATTATCAAAAACCCACACGCAAACCTTTGTTAAAACTTTTTAAAAAAAAGTACAGTCACTCACGTGCACATAAAATGTTATAATATTTACATTACTTACATTTTTTTTGACATTTTACGTGCACGTGAGTGTCTGTATATTTTAAAAAAAAATTAACTTCTAAATTGAATTGGATTAGACATACCTACAGGTGTTTCTTCACCCGTTAGATCACATGTAAAAAATAAACTGTTTTTATTGTTGAGGTGTTAAAATTTGATCAAGGATTTTGTTTATTTTTGGGCGAATAAAACTGAAACAGGCCGAGGTGAGGATCACCAATAACTCAATTATTTGAAACAATGAGTCATTTTCTTTCCACCAATCTCGCAATTAATCCTTTTAATCTCTCCGCGGAGCTTCGATTCTGAAATTTTCGGGAAGAAACCGTATAATTTGCTTAGGAGTGATTTTTTTTTTCTCACGGAAGATTGAGATGAAAGCTTCGTCAAGAGGAGTAAATGAATGATGGGAGGGTTGCAATCTTCTTCAAAGCTGCAGTATATGCGCATGCAGTGCCCCTCTCCTCCTGCCTCAGGATGTTCCCTCGTGTTCAAAATGATAAAATTGACAACGTCAGTTGACAGAAGGAGGCTCGGTACGCGGGAGCTAAGGCAAGGGGTAAAAGACAGTGGTTAAAGGAATAGACTGCCCGCAAAAGCATACACATGATCGAGTATTTAGCGGCGTTGAAAGGCTCAGCCCACAGGGGGCCTTTTCGACGTGGATCCGTGGCTTCTTGTTCTAGCCAGCGTTGCCAGTTTATACAGATAATGTTTCTCCAATTCCGTTGCGAGCACCTGCAAAATTACAAAGTTCACTGGAAAAAAAAACACATTGGATCTAGAGTCCAGACTCTTAAAAACATCGACAAGAAAAAGTACTCTTGATTCAATCAGAATCTTTAGCTTAAATCAAGAACCAAGCCTCTTAATTTAAGCGGATTTCGTTTTGACTCAAGCAAAAATCCGATCGAATCAAGAGTATTTTTTCTTGTCAATGTTTTCAAGAGTCTGGAAGTAGTGTTTTCAGTAGCGAGGCGTGAATGATCGATTATTATCGGTATTTCCTTATTTGAAGATATGGTGAAGAATCAATAATTAAAGGTGTTCGTTGCGAACACAATATATGTAAAGAAATCCTTTTTTATAGTTTTAAATGACAGATTAATCGATATATCGCAAACACGGTACGTCACTGTAAGTTTAATACTACTCTCAGTGCTTTTTTTAATTTGGGTTTACCTTTGGCATAACTGGAAAATTTACAAGCATACTTGTAGAAATGGCTGGTGAAGATTCACAGTTTGCATTAATATAAACCAGCTCGTTCGAAATTTTCTCTTCAGCAGGCCGATTATTGAAATTGATAGACTAAGTTATAGACAAATAAGACATAGGGAGTGTGGAGCAATCCTATTGGTTGAAATGGGTGGTTCCTTTAGACATAGGGAGCAAATGTTAGACCAACTGTCGGGTCTCTCGTAGGTTGCCGTTAGTTAGTTATATAGTCTATTACCTTCCTCATTTGTCCATTGCAACCACCCGCTTCCACCATTAGGATCTCTCCATATCTCTTTTGTCTATTTTATCTACGGCTTTGTCTATCAATTTCAATAATCGGCCCGCAGGGTACTAGAGAGTCCTTCGTCGAGACCTCAAAATCCAATTTTTCAACTCAATTCGACAACAATCGCTCTTCTGAAATTTTCGCCTCCGTGGGCTGAGGTACCTTTCCTCACAGTCAGGAACATTTAAATTTATGGTAATTCAAGTTAATAAACTTATTTCACCTTTCTCCTCACCTCCAATCTGACAACCTTGTCGAATCTCCCGAGCTGTGTGGCTCTGCTCCGAACTCAGATCTACGCAAGCAGCTTGGGACTTTTGGAAGCACGTCACCCGCTGCCGGGCCCCAATCCCTCCCCCACCCCCACCCCTACCGCACACCACCCCCCGTGGTCTTCGAATATTTAATCCCTGTTTAAGCACTCATCAAGGGGGTTTAAGTGCCTGCGTGTGAGTTTTAATCGGGTAAACACTGGAAAAAGCTGTCCGCTACAATGGAGCCTCATAATTAGGCTGCCGAAATAAGTACGGTAGCGGTAGCCCCAGATGCAATTAAAGAATGAAGATGAACCTACTTTCCACCTGCATTTTTTTTTTTTTCGTGACGACGATTTTTTCGCTCATTTTCTAACTGAGATCACATTTTGTGTTCACGTAAAGTTAAGGGTGTAGGATTACCTAAGGGATGCATTTTCCTCCATTTTCGTTTGTAGATAAGGGTAGGGGCCAAGTGGGGTAAGTGTAGATTTTGAAAAAAAAAATGCTATTTTAATTATTTTAACTAAAATTAGTCTTAATTAATATTCTGTGAAAAATTCACCGCAAAAATCCCATTTTTAACCATCAGAGAGTGGGTTTGAACTTTCTTTCCGCCATAAGGTTCCAGACAAAGGGGAGCCATGGGCATATGACAAGAACGTTGTGGACAAGGCTTATGAGTTAACGATTCACACGGGCGACCGCGGCGACAGCCTTAATGCCCTTGACGTCACTGGCGCTTTATAATTCCCATTCATTTTTACGGCCCTGGACTAACGAGTACACCTCTTTTTCCCCTACCTGTCTCTCGGTCCGTTGAGCAGGAATATGTTCGATCGATTAGTTGATAATTTTTTAGGAATTCTCTCTCGTGAAACCAGGAACTATCGATCGATTCTCAAATGGTTCTCCAAAAAGCTGAAGATCCACCTTATAAAATAAGGAGACTATAGATATGGTCTTCTCTGCAAATTTTGAATAAAATTGAGCAGATATATTCTGAGATATGGCTGCACGCAGATTTGGGGGACGCCGGACGGACGGACACACATTTTTTCAAGCATGGTCATTTTGACTCCACGAACCTTAAAATGTCTAGAAATGATGAAATTTCAAGTTTTTTCTCTTTTTTTTCTTGGAGGATGACGATACTTCCTCTACTCTAGGAAAGCGAGAAAGTAAAAATCATCTAATTGAAAGTATAACATTTAGGCTAGTGCTTGGATGATTCCACGGTACACACGCTGGAAAAAAATCGCATTGGATCTAGAGTCCAGACTCTTAAAAACATCGACAAGAAAAAATACTTTTGATTCAATCGGATTTTTGCTTGAATCAAAACGAAGTCCGCTTAAATTAAGAGGCTTGGTTCTTGATTTAAGCTAGATTCTGATTGAATCAAGAGTACTTTTTCTTGTCGATGTTTTTAAGAGTCAGGACTCAAGATCCAATGTGTTTTTTTTTCCAGTGCATGTACTTTGACGCCACGCCTTGAGCCCTCTGCAAGTTTTCACAAAGAGGATAACATTACATTTCCGGTCAGGATTACGAGCCCGGGGATCCGGTTGTCCAAACGAACGAGATTCGAGATGGGGTCGCACCCGTGCCAGTCAATGGCGGATCAAAACAATAACAATGCGATTACAAGTATCACATTCTCCACCGAAACGATGCCGCTACTAAACTGATTCACTCCTCAGACGGACCCTTTTTTATCATCATCGTGTATTAAACGATTAATTCGCATTCACCAGGTTTTTACTGCAGCAAGTTAAATTCAAATCCGATTAATTGCCCCCTCCTCCCCCTCCCCTCGGCCCTTTAAGACCCCTGCGAATCGATGCGGAGCAGTGTTTCCTTGTATGCTTGACTGTGTCCCAGTTATCCAAGTCTACTTTTTTTCGTCGATCCTATGAACTCGGTCGAGAATCGTTACTTCCTATTATTATGACAGAAGAACAACAATAACAACATAAGTAACGGATTCTTCGCTCGATTAGAGGGCAACAGGTATTTTTTTCTCAGATGTAAGAAAAAATTACAGGTACAAATCTTGCTCATGGGTCGTGTCTACTAACCTCACTTCCTGCAAGAAGAGCACGCTGAGTGTGCAAATGAATTGCAGAAGTGTTGGTATTTGATGTCCTATTCGGTTTTATTCAACCCTAATGGTCTGGTCACACGCTCAAATTTCCGTCAAATTCCGATCAAAATGATGACCAAGATGGCGGTCGAGAGTTATCTAGATTGATGAGTAAAATTAATTAAAACAGCGTGTTGATTAAGCACGGTTGTGTGGAAATCAGATGAACGATGAGCCCCACAGCTCCATCATCTACCATCAAATTTTTGCAGGCCGCAGAAATTGGATGGTAGATGGTGAGCACCAGTCACCATTTGATCGGAAATTGATGGAAATTTGAGCGTGTAACCAGCACATTAGATGCCTAAGCCGAGGTTGTAATCTTTTACCCGAGGCTTGCTAAAAACACGTGCTCAATATTCCCCAGTTCCGGCCAGTATTAGCATAGTTTTCGGCCAGTTATTCAACCTGTAGGTTGAATGGGCTACTGCATACGAGTTTCAGGTATAAGTCTACAAGTACACCGTAAAGGAGAATCAGACATCACACTGAGAAAAAAAAATCTGCCCGGAAAGTAAATTGCATGAGATATTATTTTTATTTGAAGCGACATTTCTGTTCGAATTTGTTGTTGTTGTTTTTCAGTTAAATTCGTGCGGATTTAAATTGAAGATAGTTTTTCTGAGTTAGAAAAACGTTGTTTTGTATCGTTTTTTTTTAACATAAACCTAACGATAGCAAAGCGACGCTTTTTTAACTAAAAAAAAAAAAAACAAATGTTAAGTTTGTGTTGAGTAAGTTTGTGTAAATGTTAAGTAACCAAATTTTGTTGATAAGAAACGACGCTTGAAGTCAAAATAATATGTCAAGAAAAAAAATTTTAGTGTAGTGTCAACATAGCCGAAGATAGAGGGGATGCATTCGGGCCTCGTTTTTCAAATTTTCTCCCGAAACCGAGAGACATCTCATTAGCAGTACAGAGCGAAGCATACTAAGAAAGTTCACGCCTCGCACCATCGCGCCTTCAATTTTGCAGATGCAAAACGGACATCTGCCGAGCACGAATAGTTGTATCTCTGCGCCTGCCGCGCCGTCATCAACGCCGGTCCTTTCCCTTGCTCTTTTTTCAAAGATTTTCATTGTGTCCGCTGTCCATGCGAATAGTCTCGAGCCAACACGCGAGTCGTTTGCAGTTTGCCGTTGTTTTACTGTCGTGATGAAGGAAAACACTTGAAGACATTCGTATGTGTCCAGGTTCAGCCCCAAAATGTCAATTTTTGAGATAAAAAATCAATGCTTCACTTGAAATTGTTAGATATCTCATATTTACATATCCAAAATCACTTCTGTTAAAAATTCGAGGAATATAATATCAGATAGAATTGAAACTCACATTTTAATGCTCAAAAATTGGATTTTAAAAGTTAATTTTTCACAGATTAAGTTCAAGACTATTTCAGTTTAAATGACTGGTCTCTAATTTTTTCAAAAACTGTGCTTATGCGCCTTGCCCTTAGAATCTCTCAATCGATTTTTCTACAAATTTGTTTTTCTTGTCTCGGATTCGGATTTTAACGATTAGAATATCGTAAATTATGTAATGATACAACTATTCGAGCTTCCGTGTGTTGCACAGTATCATTCTCAGTTGAAGGCGTTATTTCTTTCCTCGAGTCGGGCTTTACTTCTGATTTAGGATATCGTAAATTATGTAATGATACAACTATTCGAGCTTCCACGTGTTGCACAGTATCATTCTCGATTGAAGGCGCTTTTTTTCCTCAAGTCGGGCTTTCCATCTGATCGCAGTCCTCATTTCTTTCTCTCTCTCTGTTTCCACCCACTCTCTCTCCCCCATCTCTTTATACCCTTCTCCCATCTCTTTATACCCCTTCCCCTCTCCCAATCTAAACGTTGGAACGTTCAAGAACGTTTTCAACGTTCGTGTGCATGCTTCTTTTTTCCTAAACTCGATCAAAACGTTCACTGCACAGAATTTACACCACTCCACCAGGGTTGCACGGGTGAAATAAAAAATGTGATATAGTGAGAATTTCCGTGATATATCACGAAATTTCACGAAGTTGGTAAAAATATGAAAAACATGAAACATATTTTCAGAGGCTGGGTATGCAACACGCTCTAAAAAAATACCAAAAAGCAAAAACCAGTCGCTTTTCATATAATTTTGCATTAAATATCGAAAAAAACATTTCGATAATTTTCATTTTCTTTTGAAATTTCATGCAATATTTCACATGGAATTTCAAGATTTCATTTTTTATGAATAATTTGATTGCATTTTGCAAAAAGGAACCACTAGCATTGCAATGATGCTAAGATTGTGCAACTTCATCCTTTGCAATAAAATTGCGGAAATCATGAAAAACTATGAAATTTAGATGGTAATTTTTGTCTTAAATTTAAAGTTTTTAGCAAGTAAAATAGAAACTATTAATGGATAATCGGGTTTTTCCTCCAAGACAAAAGAAGTTCTTAGCAACATTGCAATGCTAGTTGTTCCTTTTTGCAAAATGCAATCCAATTGGACTCGATTCTGCAATAAGGAACTATAAATTCCGGCCCGGTTTAAAAACAACGTATGTGCCATTAGTTTCCGTATGCACGTAAGTGTTTTTTCAGATGAGCCAGAATTTATAGGTCCAAATTGCAAAATGCAGTCCAATTGGAACCCTGCACACCACTAATTCATCTTTATTTTTCGTGTGTGCAGAAAGTATGGGACTAGCTCAGGACAGCGGCTCGCGGTCCAACTCCTCGTGCGAGCTGGACCTGTCGACGCCGACGGGGCCGGCTCACGGAGCGGGGCCGGAGCAGTGCGGGTTGCAGAGCGACGGGATGGGAGGCGACGAGGAGGCGGCCAACGGAGGCGGGGGCGGCCCGGGGGACTCGAAGCCCCGCAAGGTGAGACGCAGCCGCACCACCTTCACCACCTACCAACTCCACCAACTCGAGCGCGCCTTCGACAAGACCCAGTACCCGGACGTCTTCACTCGCGAGGAGCTCGCCATGCGACTCGATCTCAGCGAAGCAAGAGTACAGGTATGCATCCCAATAATTTAGCTTCTTTTAAAAATTCTCCAAGTCTAAGAAAAAATGGAGATGTTGCATGTGTGAGGAATTTGCGATTTGACTGTTGATTCTTATGTAACAGTTCGCGAGAAACACGATGGTGCCTCTGGTTTTCTCTAAAATTAACTCCCAAACTCAAAAAAATCTCTCAAGTTGAGGCCAAAATGGAGGGGATATCCCACGCTATGATTTCATGCCTCGCGCCATCGCGCCTTCAATTCTGCAGATACAATACGGACATCCGTCAAGTACGAATAGTTGTATCTCTGCGCCGTCATCAACGCGCCTCCTTTTCATTGTTCTATTTCCAGGTTGTGTTGATTACGTTTGTCTTATGTGTAGTGGTGCCTCATGGACCACGTGAGCCACACAACCAAAGATAAGAGAGGCGTAATCGAGCCTCGTTTTTGTGAGTTGAGAATAATTTGTATTGAAAAAATCAGATGGGTATTTCAGATTAAATTCCGAATAAAATTCTTTGCACGATGGAGATGTTGCATGTGTGAGGAATTTGCGATTTGACTGTTGATTCTTATATAAAAGTTTGCGAGAAACACGATGGTGCTGCTGGTTTTCTCTAAAATCATCTCCCATGCTCAAAAAAAGCTTTTAAGTTGAGGCCAAAATGGAAGGGATATCCCACGCTATCCTGAGAGTCCATCTCTACATAAAGACAAACTCTCCATGCAAAGATAGGGAGCAAATACATTGACAGGGTTGCTGTGTTTTCAGTTTTGGAGTCCCCAAATAAAGTGGCAGCCCTGTCAATGAATCTGCTCCCTATCTTTGCATGGAGAGTTTGTCTTGATGTAGAGGTGGACTCTCAGGATAGCATGGGATATCCCCTCCATTTTGGCCTCAACTTGAGAGTTTTTTTGAGCTTGAAAGATAATTTTAGAGAAAACCGGAGGCACCATCATGTTTCTTGCGAACTTTTGCATGAGAATTAACAGTCAAATCGCAAATTCCTCACACATGCAACATATCCATTCTCCAACTCTATGAAAAAATTCCAGGAAATAGAAAAAAAACTGTATTCAGCCGAGAATTGTTGGTAATGGAAAATGTTTTTGCTGCATGTTGGGGGCTGTTCAAGTATTACGTGACGGGCTTAGAGGGGAGGGGAGGTTTGAGCCAGCGTCACCGTGCGTTACGAGGGGTGGAGGGGGGGGGACAAAAATCGGGAAAAGTGCATCACGTAAAACTTGAATGGCCTCTTATTTTGTTCCAAACATTGACTTCGGAACTAAAAATTTGAAACTTTTTGGTGCTCTCACAAAACGAGTGGTGGCCTTAGGATTATTTGGACTGCATTTTGCAATTTGGACCTATAAAATCTGGCTCATCTGGAAAAACTCTTATGTGCATAGGAAAACTAATGGCACATACGTTGTTTTTAAACCAGGCCAGAATTTATAGTTCCAAATTGCAAAATGCAGTCCATTTTTCACTAAAATAAAAAATCTTAAACTCAAAAAACGATCCCAAAGAAAATGGAGCTTCTGGTGATATTTTATCACCATTTACCATTGCATGTGATTTATTGTCATAGGAAGCAGAACATTAGCCCACAAAAACCTAAAATTAAATTCTAAATACACGAGAACAGGAGGGTTCCACGAAGTTTTTTGGACAAAAAACGCCTGTAAATATCGAACCGAACAGGAGTCATAACGGTTTGTATTTTTTACTTCAAAATTGTAGTTCAAAGAAATCCATGCAAAATTCTAGTCTATTTTCTAGCTAAATTACGCTAGGATCAGCTTCACATCTCTAATTTTACACATTACCAATCTTCGTAAATCTCTGTCGCATACATGCTTAGAGGGCTGATTTCTGAAACTGATAGACTAAGCTATAGACAAAGTAGACATAAGGGATATGGAGAGATCCTATTGGTGGAAGCGGGTGGTTGCAAAGGACAAAGGACATAGGTAATTGACTAATTAACGGCACCCCACGAGAGACCCTATAGTTAGTCCATCATTTACCCATTAAGCCTATAAAAACCACCCGTTTCAACCAATAGGATCGCTTCATACTCCCTATGTCAGTGGCGTGGCGTAAAATATCGATTATCGATATTTCCCCATTTGTAGCTGTGGCAAAGAATCGGTTATTAAGGTGTTCGCTGCGAACACCCTGTTAATCGATCATTTTCCATAGGTTTAAATGACAGATCAATCGATATATCGCAAACCACGCCACGCCACTGCCCTATGTCTTCTGTGTCTATCGATTTGTCTATCAATTTCAACAATCGGAAAGGGGAATGTGGAAGATCTTCACTTTTTATGCGCATCGGGGAAATATGAATGAATCCGGAGAGAGTAATAACAAGACGGTCAGTCAAACGGAATGAGTCAATTCCAGCCAAGAAATCGCGATGAAAAGGTGTCCTGGCCGCGGGTGCACAAAGGCGCAATCCGCGGAGGCTCTAAGCCTTTGAGGCGATCCGGAGCCTTTCTTCGGCGACTCGGCCTAACCTCAAACCTTGCGAAACTCGAATTGCGGGAGCCGCGTATATTGATTCCCGTGAATGGCAACATTATTTGTGCCGCTTGGGCGGGCATTTTTAATTGACCCCGTAACAAAAGGTTTGGGTGTCACTTAGCATATTAGTGTCATAGTGGATTAACACATACGCCGAGGGTGGTCTCGTTTATTGGCACTGCCTCCCCTAGCAGCCTCCCCCTCCCCNGAGCCGCTCGCCCCAAAGGCGCGGCCCGCCGGACCCCTCCCTGGCGGAAGTCCTTGCAACTCGGTGGAAGTACAATACGCGGTATTGCTAAGTTTCTAAGGGCTACAAATTTGATTTCTCGGATATTTAATGAGGGCTGTATTCGTGATATGGTTCCTCAGACAATGATATTCCAAGAGAGACCTCATATGAGGGGCTCTCCTCCCAGGAAGAACCCAATCAAGCACCATCTTACTTAAATTACTTTTTTTTTTCTTTTCTTTTTTTTTGTGGGATGTGACTTTAACCCCCACGATATCAAAATGAGCTCGCTCATACTGTATCTCTTCCATCCCGAATCCTGACCCCCCAGAAGATGTGAGCGAGTAGCAAATTAATGAAAAATCATAAATAAGTAGTGGAATTCTACATTACAAGACACGTCAGTTCACAAAATCCGAGAAATATAGCAGAATCTCCTGACATACAGTTATGCCAGACTGGTTCTAAATTTAGAAAAAGGGTTCCACTTAAATTGCTTAAAAACTACCCCTTTACTTTAATCATGAAGTTAAGTTGAAGGTCTTCTTAAGATCCTCTACAGTGTAAACCATATAAATACCTAAAGTGCAAAACCACGTATCTCCAATGCGGTGTTCCAAACTTTCCGCTCGTATTTTATTTTGCGATGGGCTGTAAGCCTCAACTTCAAAGTTTGGAAACGCAGGATATTCTGCTAACACTGAAGAAAAATAGGGGAAGTTTTCAAGAAATCACGTCAAGTTGCTTCCCAAATAAAACACGAAGCATGACAGGAAGTCTGCAACGTCACAAATGGAGATACGTGGTTTTGAACCGTGGCCGTCAATATGCGGCTTCCGTACACTGAAAACTAAAGTTACGGGCTATTCATATAAACATACCGTCTGTTCCGGGCTTCTAGGCCGAAACTTCCGGGCGCTGAAGCCGCAACTTGGATTTTTCCGGGTGCTACGCCCGGAACGCATATAAACATACCGTCCGTTCCGGGCTCATAGGCCGAAACTTCCGGGTGCCGAAGCCGTAACTTGGATTTTTCCGGGTGCTACGTCCGGAACTATCGGGCTCTGAGCCCGGAACGCGGACGGAATGTCTGTATAGCCCGTAAGTGTGGCTTCTACGGCTGGAGTATTTTTTTTTTTTTTTAGTGTAAGGTAAGGAGAGGATGAGGAAGAGGTGAGAATACAGCCCTGGACGGCAACGGTGTAATGCGGCGTGGTAATGATACAGAATACAATTGAGTGGCCTTTTTTGCCCTGTTTGCAGAGCGCTCGGAAATTAATATCTTGGATTTAGCAACGAGTGGCCGCTCGGTGCCGGCTCAAGTGCTCGCGAGTCGCGAGCGGCCGCCACCAGAGGGCAGCGCCATCGATTTTTGATCGAGGCCGCTAATCTCGCGTTTAATGAGCCTTGTAAGTACTTGCTCCTGCTGCGAGTTGATCCGCCGCGCCGCGCCGTATTTAATCATATTTACCGATCCGAAGGTGCGGCGTTGAGCAGACTTCTAAATAGGTTAATAATTGAGCCGTTGGGAGCGGATGGGGTGTAACTCCGTCCCAACGTTGCGGCATTTCACTCAAATTCGTGTTTATCAGGGGGGTAACTGCTTCCTGACATAGAGTACTCGAAGTCGTGATGTACATGGGAGAGCTGCAGAGCTGGCGCCATGCTACAATTGACGAGTTCCGAGCCCGGTGTGCGACGAGCTTCGGTCACTTTTTCGATACATGTTCGATCCAAAATGGCGGTGTGGAATACGTGGTGATTCCTATCTGCTTTGTTTACATCGGATTGCCGGGTACCCGTGTATCGTAAACAATCGATCATGTGTCGAATAAGTGACCCAGCGTCACACAGGAGTCTCGGAATTCGGGACCTGGAAAATGCTTAAAAGTGGCGCCAGCTCACTCACTTCTATGTACTCTATGAGAATACGTAGTAATTCCTATCTCCTTTGTTTACATCGGATAGCCGGGTACCCGTGTAACAAAATCAATCGATTATGTATCGAAAAAGTGACTCGGCGTCACACAGGAGTCTCGGAATTCAGGACCTGGAAAATGCTCCAAATTGACGCCAGCTCTCCCACTTACATTATACGACTCTATGCAGGGCCGGATTGGCCACATGGGCCGCGGCCCATGGCGGAAAATCTAAGGGGGTTGCAATTTGCAACATTTGCAATTTTTTAAAGTGTAGGTATAAAAAAAATCGGATTTATAAAAACAAAATTACAAACGAGAAAAGGCGA